CAACCCTCCATGCTTCCTATATATATATGTGTATGTATACATATGTATACGTACATATGTATACATATGTATACGTACATACGTATACATATGTATACGTACATACGTATACATATGTATAGATACATACGTATGTATACATACGTATGTATACATATGTATAGATACATATGTATACGTACATACGTATACATATGTATAGATACATACGTATGTATATGTATGTATACATATGTATACGTATGTACGTATACATATGTATACATACATACGTATGTATACATACGTATGTATACATATGTATAGATACATATGTATACGTACATACGTATACATATGTATAGATACATACGTATGTATACATACGTATACATATGTATACGTATGTACGTATACATATGTATACATACATACGTATGTATACATACGTATGTATCTATACATATGTATACGTATGTACGTATACATATGTATACGTATGTACGTATACATATGTATACGTATGTACGTATACATATGTATACGTATGTACGTATACATATGTATACGTATGTACGTATACATATGTATACGTATGTACGTATACATATGTATACGTATGTACGTATACATATGTATACGTATGTACGTATACATATGTATACGTTATATATATCTACATATATGTGTATCTATATATCTACATGTGTGTGTGTGTGTGTGTTTATATATAAATATAGACATACATACATACATACATACATATATACATGCATATTGTATTAAAATCCAAAATTATATAATATTATATTAATATTTCCAAAAATAAATACAAATTGATATTTCCAGATTATATAAAGGAATAAGTCATTAATATAAAAGTTAAAATAACTCAATCTTTTCAGGAGAATGAAATGTGATTATTAGATATATAAATAAAATATTATATTACTATATTACATTAATAGGTCCACATTATGACTTTTGAAATGAAAAAAATGAAAATCATTATCTTTTCTTAGTATTAATTTAGTCATGCAATAAATTATTTTATGATACTTTTAGCAATACTAGAATTATTTTTCTACCAATAAATTATTAAGTCTATCATACTAAGCTCGAACAGCTTGTTTCAATCCATATAAAGCTTTATTTAATATATATATACATGATCTATGATCAATATTCTCATCAAATTAAGGTTGTTCTACTAAAACATCTTGATCAATAAACTTGTGTGAAAATGCATTTTTTATATCCATTTGAAAAAGTTCAAAGTCCTTATGGCAAACAAAAATAAGCAGTAATATCATATTTTTAATCTTATTATAATATAAATCATTAAGTTCAAAGTCCTTATCAAAATCATTAAGTTTAATTTCAGATGTCTTTTGTTCATTTTTTAACTCTAGTGATATCATATGGGTTTAGTATTTGTATTCTTTGATTAGAAATATGATTAGTTCAGTCATAGTTGATCATATATATATATATTTCCTCTCTCCTGATTT